TTATATATTATAATAATAATTATTAAATATTATAATAATAATAAGTTGAATAAATTGTAATTAATTATAAATTCTAAAAATAATATTAATAATATTAACAATTATAAATTATAAATGCTTATAATAATAATATTATAAGAAATAATAATAATAATTTGTAATGATAATTATAATTAAATATAATAATAATTATAAATTAGTATTAATTATAATAATTTAAATAAAAAATTATAATAACTATTATAAATCTCAACCATTATAATTATAATTATAATTAATAAAATTTATATATTAAAATAAAAATGAATTATAATTTATTTTAATAGTTATTAGAATAGTCATTATATATGGAAAAATTTAATAATTATATTTCTGATTCAGGGTGTTAGCAGACCTGGACAATCTAATGCCAGGGACGACGACGAGGCGTTCGATGACTATTATGATGGTTCTGGCAGCCGACACACTAGAAGTCGGGGTGTCAATGCGTCCGTTCGTCGGGACAGACAGACATTGATCGATGAGGCTTGGAGGGTACAGACTCTTCAGGCTAGGCAGAGTTCGAGACTCCCCGCACCAGCACGAGATGGTCCGCAGGGATATCATTTTGAGGGTCAGCTAGATAGTTCGCGACCCCACGGAGTCCTCCCGTACGGCGAGCATGGATTTTATTATCCTGGCCAGGCGGGCAGTTCGATGCCCCCGGCACCAGGACCGTATGATCAGCGGGGATATGCTTTTCTCCGCTAAGCAGGGAAGTCGATACCCCCCCCCCCCCCCCCCCCCCTGCTCGCACGCGTACCATTACCTTATGGTCAGCAGGGGTATGCTGATGAGTCGTACGGCGAGAGGGAGCAGGGTCCAGAGGAGTATGACTCGGACGACTCCTCATATGATCAAGACCACGCACAGCCTACGGGTCCTAGCCACTCTCGTCCTCCTGTACAGCCTGTTCGTCCGGTACAGCCAGTTCTACAGCATGTTCGTCCGGTACAGGATGTTCGTCCTACACAGGCTGCTCCTCAACGACAGGCTGGGGGGCGTTTTGGCCCATCTGCATCCTCATCAGGTAAATAATTTACGTATTATTGTTGTTTAACATAAATTATTTTACTTAATCATAACAAATTATCGGTACTGTTAAAAAGTATTATCGGCCTGCTCCTCAACTACGGTATAATTATTTTGTAATTTAGAGGAACCATACAATTAATTAGTTAGAAAATTATTATAATTATTTTTATTATTGTTATAATCAATTAGTAGTAATGTTACATAATAAATTATTTTAAAATTTTCATTATATTTTATTAATGTAAAATATAACGTTTGTACATTAATTGAAAAAAAAGAAAAGAACGGGAAACTTATGAAATATGTTTTATTAAATATATTTTATTTAATGCATCTGCCAGCAAGTCTATATATATAGATATATTGTATTTTAATGCAGGTACTAGCAAACGAGCTAGGACCGATGATGATGCACCCTGGATCGTTAAAGGCCCAGTGGCCGGTGGGCCCATTGATGGGAGTGTTATCCCTAGCTTTGTAGGGCAAGTCGCCTCCCGCATGTGGAGTGGAGATTTGAGGGGGCCGCTGAAATGCCACAACAGACTGAGAGCGGTCGAGAATTTGAAGGCTTTGCGTGAAGAGATGTCTTCCGATGAGAGAGCTCTTCTCGACCAGACCGGGCTGTCACATTTGGCCGACTCCATGCACATTCACTTGGACACCCCACTCCTTTTTGCGTTTGTGGAGCGATGGCAGCCGGATACTAACTTGTTTTACCTGCCTTTTGGTGAAATGAGCATCATGTTGCACGACGTCCGCGCCATTTTGGGCGTTCCTGTCGAGGGAGCCGTGGTCGTTGAGGACCCGGATTCGGACGCCTGCCATGGGCTCTGCATGTCGATACTTTCGGTCACCAAGGGCGTCTCATGAGTTCGTTCTGGCAGCGTGGTTCGGTGTCCGAAGCCTCCATTTCGGGGGCATTCAGGGGGAAAGGCCGGCCGACTAGGGATGAGGCGGGTGCCTGGATGTGGGTGATGCACTGATGGTACCAACAGTGAGCAAACCGATACTATATATCCAAACAGAGGTACAACACAAACATGAATAGTGGTACTATGATTATTCTCATCTTATTTTTTTGTTTTATGGTCAATAACACCTGACATAACCTAAAAATAATATCAATTTAGTACACATGAACAAAAAAAAAAGGATTATGATCACTTTTTTTGTTTTAGGGTCAATATAAACAACAATATTCAAAATTCAATCATTCACAAATCAAACAAAAATATATGAATGAAAGATGATTTTTGGACTCTAGAGTTCTCATATAATACATACATTACTTATTACTTCAAGTTTTCACCGGAAAAAGCCACAATGTTGCCGAAAAAAAAAAAAAAGGAATTTTCGGACAGAGAACTAGAATTTTGGCCGGAAAAAGCCTCGATGTCACCGGAATTGTTGCCTCCGGTGTTCTGCCTGCCGAATTTCGTGTAACCGGCGAGATGAAGTTGCAAAAGAAAACAAAAAAAAAAGGGGACCGGCGGCGAGAAGATGAAGAAAAAAGAGGGGAAAACGGGAGGAGATGAGTGGGGAAGAAGGAACATAAAATCAGATTTTTAGGTAAAGAAAAATAGTAAATTAATGTATAAGTGGGGATGATGTCACAAATTAATTTTTTTGTCATTTATTTTAATAGGAGAGATTTAAATGGAAGATGAATATGGGGGTAGGGAGTCAAATAGATAAAAATTATGAGGAGGGACTGACTTGAAAGTTTAATTAAGAATTGTGGATTTTTAAAGAAAACTCCCTAGTTTTTAAGCCAGCACACACTGAAGCCCAATAAAAAGAATCAAGGCCCATTTCTTTTTTACTATTGAGGATTAGATGGGGCAAAATTCGTCTTGTCTTTCACATTATCATTCCAAATCACCGAACAAAAAACTCTCAATCGCGCCCCAGTGCTGTGGACTCCAGATTCCTTCGCGACGAGTTGCGCTGTCGCGTGGCTCCGCGGATCATTGGTTTGCGAGTCTACTCTGGAGTGGTTCTTGGTAGACGGAGGCTTGTCGGAATCACGGGAGAGGCGGGAGAGGAGCTTCAGATTTATAGCTAATTTGATGTATTTTTGTTGGGGGAGTACGGCAGGGACGACGACTTTTGTGAGGGAATAAGAACCAGATTTGGGTTANGCCTAGCCCGCGGCCCGTGGCGGGGGTGGGCCGGGTTGGCATTTGAAGGCCCGCCAGGATGGTGGCCCGCCCCGCTCCGCCAAACGACGGGTTTCGGCGGGCTGCGGGCTGGCCCGCCCCGCTGGCCCGTTTTGACATGTCTAGACTCGGTGAAAAACATCTGACATTCAAGTCAAAATCTCACCCGTGAACATATAAGAAAATTGTATTCTGAAAGCCCAATATGCATTGTGTAACAGTAAAACTAGGTAACCTTTTATAATATACCGGGTTATCTTTCTGCTCAAGTAGAGTCCTTGCTGGGAATGAGATCCAATTATATATTCTTTCCTAGCTTAACATGTCTCTGAGATCTTAGACTGCGTATCAGCTACATACACTTATAATCCTTAACAAGATTATGTGCCCTCTTATGTACGGCTTTAAGATTCTTAGATCGTCCTAATGACCTCATGACCCATCCACCATAGGCTTTTACCAGGTTAAAACCCGGACCTTTACGTGCACAACCTCTAGGTCGTAACATCCCTTCACATGTCCGAGCTCCCATAAATCGGTCATACTTGAGCTAACCACTCAAGTCGGTTCACCGAGTTATTCTGAGTGCTATATCATCTATAAAACAAATTTCTTATTCACACACATTGAGCAACTACATTTGCATTAATATATAAAATAAATAAATAAATAAAATACCCTGAATTTTAAGGCACCATAACCCGAAAGAACATGTATTTAACACTGGCCAAAACAGATGAGAAAGAACAAAAATTTCTGACCAAAACAGAAGTACTCCTAGTGTAGTGACTACTGCAAACAAAGAAAGGCAGAAAATAAAAGAATTGATATACAACTTCAAAATTGGGTCACTACAAGTCACAAACTGGTGATCTGCAACTACTACTAGTCTACTACTCCTCACCAGATTTACTCAACTTAATCGGATGCTGGCTTCTTGGTGACAAATTCATCTGCTCCAAAGCATGGCATTGCAATCTCCAAGGGTAGTCCCTCACACACCCGATCCTCGCCCCTGCGCCACTGCTCCACCTACACGACATATGTTTAAACGACTTCAACATATGCTCTTCCGGGATAATCTCCTCGTTTTTAGACTCTTCATCTGAATCTCTTGGTTTCTCATTTTCGGTTGCTTGTATAAATTGTTTGGGATTTTGGTTGTTTTCGTTTTCTTCAGGCTCCGAATACTCTTTCTCTGCTAGATTTTCGTCTGAGCAGTTGCTTCTCAAGTACAAGAGGCTTTTGTTCCCGCTAGAATCTTCTTCGTCTTCATACGGAACGAGCTGGACAAATTTGAATTTTTAACACATTTGCCCAAGATAAGCATAGCAAAAACATCATAAGCATTAATAAGCAATTTTAATATACCTTAACATCAGTAAGATTCACATTGTTCTCCCGCAAAAACGACAAGAAATCCTGAAAATTTTCCAGTGTCGGCCGGTAGTGACCACTGTGAGGCCAGACTGCCTGTTTTTCAAATCCAAGCAAATTAATTAACAATCCCATATACATAGTTTAAAAAGAGTTTGAGAGTGTAAGTAATTAATGATACTACCCACCTTTAAGACTCCTTTTTCAGCTACAATCCTCCCAGCGGCTAGTGTAGCTCCTCCCGCCAAAAAACTCGAGTGTTGAAAAGAACCTTTCTTCTTCTTCCCGACGTATAATATCTTAGATGTGCTGAGGACAAAAATCCACTTACAAGCCTTGCCTTCTTCTGTGGTGGTCTCCAATAATTCCCCTGTTTGCTTGTAAATTAACTTCCCATCTTTCATTATTATCTCATACGCCTTTCTCTCCATCTGTCACATGAAATGGATCATTATTATTATTACAAATAAAAAAAGGAAAAAAAATAATAAAAAAAAATAAACACGAGGCAATTAAGGATGATATATTTACCGGGCCAAGGTATTTGATGCATTGCTGCTGAAGCTTCGAACGAGGGCATTTTTCGACAAGATTAACCTCTTTCCCTTCTCCTATGTCTAGCCAATAAAAAAAGGGCTCTTTGCTTTGAGAACTGAGCCATTTAACATAATACAAGTGAAGATTGTGGCCATAACGATGACGAGGATCGATCTGTGTTTGGAACAAAAAATTAGTCGAATGATTATGGAAAAAAATAAGTAATGCAGATAGTGATGTATGAAAAATTGAAAACTACTTACAGCTTCAAGCCAATGTTGTATAGCTAGTTTTCGAGCTTTTCCATTCTTTGATAAGCCCTTTCCCACCTACAATCTCAACATTAACATATATATATATATATATATATATATATATATATATAAAGAGAGAAAAGGGATTGTATGAAAATCTTAAAAATCACCTTAGCAGCTCTTGTTCGTGCTCGTGACCAGCGTGAAACAGCTGTCTCGTGTTTGTCGACATCAAAGAAAGAAATGGAGCTGTGTTTGAGCTCGGCAAAATCTAGAAGCTTCCACCAGCTCTGCTCGATCACAACTGCGCAATCGGCCAATTTTCTCCTTATCCGGAAGCTTTTATAAACCTTCTGCAATTTAACGGCTGCCTCGTGTTTGGGGCTGTTTGTGTCCAAAATGGATATATATTCGTCTATACTCTTTAATTCAACACATTTTTCCATTAGAGGCGAATTTCGACTAGTTTGCATATCATCCACTGATTTTATGATGATGATGGATGCTAAAGCAGCCTCAAGATATGAACATGATAACTCCCCCATGCAATGAACTGTTATTTACCTGTCATAACAGACGCAAATCC